TATGCGAAAATTAATTTCTCACATATACTTAGGAGTCTAAAAATCCTAAAAAAAAACCGTACACATTTCAGTGATTAAGATAATTTTCCCTTATTCCTCGGATACCTATATCTAACTACCCATTCGTGGCATGTTAATTAATTCATCCATTTTATGTGTCATGACACGATTTAATTTGAATTAGCTTTGCCTAGCGTTCAAACAGAGGTAATGCAAAGTATTAATTTAATGCACACTAATTCGCATTAAATTCTCCGTGTGAACGCAGTTCAAATTTGATTTGCAGAAGCTTACACTTAACTAAAATTAAACTCTTTGTGTGAAAAGGGCAGATTTGCACAGTTCTAAATTGAAACATGCTAAAAATGTACAGTCCAGTGTAAGTTTAGTAAAATATTTATCGATTGAAGAAGAGGATAGGATTTGTGCAGCAATTTTATTAATTTTAAGAATATTTTCCTTAATATTATATTTTATTTATTTTAAATTAAATAGGATATGCCCTTGCGCCGACGTTGTTTTGTTGATGTGTTTTATTACCTTGAATGGGAAAGAACTATGACGTCATATTATAATGTCATAATGTGCACTTGCATTAATATTCTGTGGGTACTAAGTATGTATAAGAAAATCAATTTTAACTTTTTTTTTGTACATAAAATATACAACTTATGCATTTTTAATAGCTCATTTGCATAGAAAACCAATATCTAGCCTTAATTCACTTGCATATATATATTTTGAAAATTTCACACACAGCAAAGCTAAACCCTTGGGTATAGTTTGTGTGATTTATCCTTTAGAAAATTTTCATTCACATTTTTGCTGCAAAGTTTGATTTACTGTGATCAATCTATAGACTGCTAATGCCATCCCGATTTCAGCAGCACTTTTGCAGTGTAACTTGTTCAAGACTTTCAGAATTATTCTTTTCATGTTTTGTCCATAAATCTGTAGTATATTAAGTGATCAAACTCTTAATATACATTAGTATAATAAAATGCAAGCCCTTGAGAAATAGTTTTTGCTGCAGGTTTGATAAAAGAGCTACTGGTATCCTACTAACAACCAGTGAGTATGTATCTAATATCTCCTTTCCTTTTCCACCCCTTTTCTCCCAATCCACAAATAAATGATACATGTATGTACTATGTAGTAGTCTGGTCCGATTTATAGAAAAAAATACTGCTAACGGCAAATAATTATTATTTGGTCCAGCATAGTTTTTAAACCTATTTCGAGTAAGCCGTAAAAATATGCTGGCCGTCATGAAAATGACGTTAAAGAGGTCAAAATGGCGGACATTCAATTTTTTTAATTTTCTCATAATATTGTTTAAAATGGAGAAGTAATGTGTGAATATCTCACTGAGTGTAATATGTGTAAAAATGATAATAGAATGCTAACATTATTAGTTTAAATCAGAAAATTTAGTCGTTTCTACACATAATTTGAATTTTCTCTGATTTTTTAGTATATTGTTCTATATTCCGCTTTGTTCAGGATTTTACATTTGAAAATACCCATACACTGCAGATTTGTATTTTTTCTTCTGCATCCCACTATTTTACAACTGAATGATGGCGCAGCTGTAAGTTAAAGTCAAAATGGCGATTCAAAATGACGGATATTCATCTCTTTTTCTAAAATTAATACTTAATGTCGTTTACATATGAGAAAGGATTTGTGAATATCTTAAATTACTGAGCGTAGTACAACTATGTAAAATACCAACAGAACACTAATTTGATCACTTTAAATTGGAAAATTTAGTCTTTCAAATTTGAAATGTGTTAAATAGCTCAAAATGGCGATTCAAAATGACGTCTGATACACTCGAATTTCATTGAAACTCTTAATTCTGGTTCGTTTTGCAAAAAATAAATTTACAGTTTGTTTTTTTTATATATATAGTATATCGAGAAGTCCATTAAATATGAACAATAAATACTTGAAAATGACTTAAGATTTTCCAAATTCCCCCCTTCGTATTTGACCGTACGTGTTCCAAAGCCTTTGAGGCCCCATCCACCTAAAATCACTCCCGATCCTGTAATTATCAACTTGAACTTCTTTCTAAACACTTTGTTCTTGCTTTTAGCACTTATAAAAACTTATTATTATCCTCTAACATCTTCTATTCCAGGTTTATTTGGTATATGTTTCAGTCTGTCTTCGGAATTTTGGTATTTTTAACACTCAAGTAAAATGGTGCCCCGTGTCAAGGATGACAACCCCCTTGGCATGTAAAAGATCGGTTCTCTGGAGTTCGAAAGAGTAAGCTTACTGGGGGCCGCCAGAGAAACAAAAAAAATCCTTCAAAAACCTATTATTCAAACTGATAGTCTGCCGAAACATGGCTGAAAATTGCCGACTCGGCATTAAACAATATACAATCAATCAACCAACACTCAAGGAACAACACATTTATGTTCAAATGTTAAAAGTCTATTTTGTTATCCAAAATCATATGCAAAATGAACTAGAGGTACTGTGAGCAATTAGCGAACCAAATGATACCCTGGTCTCCCATATGAATATAATGACAGTGTCCATGTTTTGCTATGGGAAACCAAAATTGTGTGTCGGATCAAAAAATAAAACAGGAGGTCACAATGGCAATATGTAATAAAGATTCTATGAAAGTTTCATCAAATTTTATTCAGTGGTATGAGAGGAGTTGCGGATAAAAGATAGGTACCCCAAAGAGACGGACGAACGGACATACCGATTACTCTATACCCTCCTGCTTTTCAAGCGGGGATATAAAAAAAATATCTTATATTCAAGATATGTAGCTCTTTAATTTGTGACCTCTGAGTGATATACACTTGTTGTCTTTTAGGGTAGAAAGGTCATTCTATTAGCAAGAAAATTCTCAAACTTGATCATCTGAAATCACATTGTGGACATATTTTGGTGAGAAAAGTTATGCAATTTAAGAGCGCCTGTAGATTCCTCTTGATTCCTATCACTTACAAACGTTCGTACCAATAGGCCTAAGCCATTACTGATTTGGATCTAGTCAAACTTCTCTTGACAACAAAATTTTCTTGAACACTTTAAGAACTTTACAAGGCAAGTTGATCCATACTTCTTTGTTAGGATAGTGTAAGGTTGTATCAAGAATCGAGGTGGGGGGGGGGATTGAACACAAACATTTTCTTCTTTCAGATTTTGTAAATTTCAAATTTTTTAAACTTATATTCACAGTTCAATACAAAAATATCCTTTCACAGCATGAAATATTTGAGAATCAGTTGAATTTTTGAATGAGAATAACAAAATGCAAATATAGGAACACAGAATCAGAGCTCGACAATGCAGAAAATTTAAGGTTTACGTATATTATACTGACAATTCTTAATATATATGTTTATATTTGGATATTATGATATTATATTCAGATTTATATTATGTAACAATTACTAGCCCTATAATTGGTCGTGGTCAATCATTTTAAAAATCATACTCAGTTATGTTGCACTAGACCTTCCACATGAACATAAACATTTATTTTTTTCTACACTGGACTAAAAATAGATCAAGAATTCCCAACAACTGAATGTTCACTTGCCTTAATGCTCGGGGGACACTGCTCTTGGGGTAGCTTAATTTTCATATTGTCTTCAAAACAGCAATTATTGTATGATATTATTAACTTTTTATATGAAGAAGCATGGTGAGACAGGTAAAAGGTAAAATGTCTTCGGAATTGTTGTCAAATACTTATAGAAGTAATTAAACAAATTTAAAATTCGTGTTATAAAAATTCTATGTCATTAACAAAAATATCCTCCAACTTTCATTGCACATTTGAACATTATTTCATGAATAAAAAAACAATTCAAACTGTAATTTATTTTCTGCAAAACGAACCAGAATTGAGCAGTTTGGGAACTCGGTATTTTACGAAATTCGAGTGTATAAGACGTCATTTGAATTGCCATTTTGAGCTAATTAACACATTTCAAATTTATCGACTAAATTTTCCAATTTAAAGTGATCAAATCAGTGTTCTATTGTCATTTTACATAGTTGTACTACGCTCAGTAAAATATTCAAAAATCCTTTCACCTATGTAAACTACATTAAGAATTCAATAATTTGAAGTAAAAGATGAATAGCCGCCATTTTGAATCGCCATTTTGACTTTTAACTAACAGCTGCACTATCATTCAATTGTAGAATATGGAGATGTAGAAGGAAAAATACAAATCTGCAGTGTATGGATATTTGCAAATGAAATCCTGACCAAAGAAGAATATAGAAACAATAGACCAAAAAATCAGAGAAAATTTGAATTAAGTGTAGAAACGACTAAACTGAGTTTAACTAATAATGTTAGCATCCTATTATGATTTTTATAGTTTCATTACACTCAGTTAGATATTCACTCATTAATTCTCCACTTTGAACGACATTAAGAGAAAATTGGGAAAAAAAATTGGATGTCCGCCATTTTGAATCGCCATTTTGATCTCTTTAACGGCATTTTCATGAAGGCCAGCATATTTTTTCGGATTCAGCATACTCGAAATAGCTAGGTTAAAAAACTATGCTGGACCAAATAATAATTATTTGCCGTTAGAAGTTATTTCTATAAGCCTTCTTTTTAAAAATCAGGACCAGGCTATAGTAAGATTAAAAAAAATATCAGAATCATTCATTTAGCAAGATAGCAATGTCCTTAACAGAATCCATGCAGTAATTTACACCCAGAAAGGAAGAAAATATGTAATATTCTCTTTAGTTTGTTATAAATACGTAATATTTGACTGCTGTCAGCTGATTCATTTTTCAATATCAATAATCAGTTTATTAAAAAATGCATTAGTAATGCATGAATAATGACCAGTGATTTTATTTTGAAGTTAACATAAAACAAAGATCAAAGTGTGCATCTGATTCAGTTTTTATCAACTGATAAAAGCATATGAATTTGTTTTATGATAAAGCCACATCACCTGACTGAACTTGTTTGAATTGATTTAACCATAATGCATGGGTTTACAAGCACTTTTCTGGTATTTCTGTGCACATTTTTGAAAGCAGATAGTTTGTTATTCCACGGACAAACCAACACTACCTCAGCACCTAATGGACATTCTGATCCTGATGCATACAAACAACTTCAACAAATTCTTCATTTGGAGACAGTGTTAAATTCTGTAATAATGGATCAAAAACAACAAATTTTAAAAAATCGGCAATTTGAACAACAGCAAAAATTATTAGAGGAAGAGATTCAGATTTTGAAGCAATGGAATCAAACAGCCCAAATGAAGATATCATTTTTAGAAAACGAAAACAAAATTTTGAAGGAAAGGCAAGACAATTTGAATTCTTCATCCACTTCACCTCAAGATAATTTGTCATCAGAAGACTTAAAAAGGATGGAGAACATCTTAGCTACCAAAATAGAGCAGAGAGTTAAAGACCGTGAAGAAAAAATGATGAAGAATATGTCTGCCACAATCAAGGGCCTGGAACTCCGAGACCGGTATTTATCACTCTCTCTGTTGGATGTACACAGCAACATGTCAATTCTTGATCACACTCTTTCTAAGCTCAAGCAACAGCAGGAGACAAATGGAGGGCAACAGAATATGACAATACAAAACTTATCACTTTCTCTGTTGGATGTACACAGCAACATGACGTCACTCAACCACACTCTTTCCAAGTTCATGAAACAACAGAGGACAAACGAAGAGCAACAGAATATGACAATACAACACTTGTCACTTTCTCTTCTGGATGTACACAACAACACAGCAAGATTATCGGCTTCTCTTTCTAATTTGGACATGCAAATGAAGAGAGAGATCCAAACACTAACAAATTCACAGCAAAATGGCATTTCAAAACTGAACAATACAATTATTCATCTTAAGAATCGTATGTATACTTATGCTTTGCTTTGGGTTTTTTCTTCTTTAATTGTTCAAAAAGAACAAAAGCTGTAGTTATAAAAAAGCAATTTTCAATTATTTTGAAGGTTGGGTCCTTTGATTTTCATGACGGGTGCACACTTCACATTTTGGAGACGTTTCTTTGAATGATATTGTATTCTAAATTAAAGTTGACACCCTGAGGGACAGTTTAAAGTTTTAAATGAGATTAATTCCATATAAAAACCATAATGCTGCAGTTTCTGCAGCTAGGGGCCTAACAATTTTTTTCCAGTCGGATTATTGATTTTCATGTTGGTGAATAACAGATTACCGGGTATTTATTTCCAATAAGATCAAGGACAAATTATTTTTTCTTCTCCACTGTAAACAGTCTGACAAGCCAAAAAAAATAAAATCTAAAACTCTTAATCCAAGGGGCGGGTGGATGGGTTGTAATAGCACAGATCAGGGTCAGATTATTTATTTTCTGCCCAATTACAGACAGACTACTGTAAACCAATTTTTATTCGCGAAGACTATATTTCGCGATTTACCAGGGATAGATTAGTTCGCGACGATTTATTTTCGCGATCAAGCCTTTTCCAATCTGTTGTGAATAGACATATACACTTTAAGGACCGGTTTGCGGAGAAATATTCGCGGTCACGAGGCTCTCGTGAACGTCGCGAATATTTCTCGCACGCGAATAAAAGTTGGTTTACAGAATTTATTTTCTACCCAATCACAGACAGATTATTATTAATTTTCAAGGACATATTTTTTTATTTCAAAATCTGCCAGCCCCCCCCCCCCTCTTCAGAATCAAATTGTCATCCCCTTATCTGCCCAGAGGGGTATGTGTGTTCAAGCGAGAAGTGATTTTCTGCCTTAAATTCACAGGTTTGTGACAACATTTGTGTGCAGTAAATAAACAAATCAGCATGCGCTAATCGAAATAAACAAGTTACTTAATCTTGCTTCTGTTTGGCAAATTTACCGTTTTTATTTTCGGCAAGTGAAAGATAAAGGGCATGTCGATGAAAATGAAGGCCATGATGCCGTGCCATGATATGTTTGTCTTAAAAAAAGATTAATACTTGATTGTTCAAATTTAATGCTCATAAACTGATATTCATTTCTAAAACATGAAATTTAAGCCACTAAACTTATCATCTTACTTATTCAAACATAGTTGTTATTTTCATAATATTTAATTGAAAAAAGTTGGCTTTTAGGCTTCCATTTATGCTTACAGTCGAAAATGATCGAAAACTTACATGTATCTTTGAATTTAATAAGAGTGCTTTTAGTAATGTTAATCTAAACAAAAACGTCTTACATCAATATCAAATAGACTGTACACAGTATGTTTGATGAAAACCACATGGGGGTGAATTTATTCAAGGCAAAAAGGAAATTTGGAGGAAATCACCAATCATGGACATCCAGATAATCAGAACTCAGGCTAAGATAAACTGTGATGAAGGTCATTACATTAGCATTTTGAATAGGTGCTTCCACCAAAAAATAATAGCTCTACATCAATTCGATCGCTTCATTCATTAATACATGTAACCATCAAGTAATCAATGTGTATATGTTTACATGTTAGTGCATTAAAAAAACTTTTTTTACACTTCTGCATGACGACAAAATTGAAATTAATGTTCTGTTTACATGGAGAGTTTAAAATAAATTAAACGTAAGTTACTGCGAATTAAAATTTGAAATACATTCACAATGAGAATTTAATGCAAATAAGTTTAACTTGTATTAATTTACTGTGCATTAAATTACTTTGCAATAGCTCTATATGAAACGTAAGCGAAGCTAATTTGAATTAAATTTTGATCATGCATAAGGCCCGAATTAAGTCACAGGCCACATAGCGATAGTAAGATTTAGGTATCTGTGCTATTTTTGGTTAATTAACAAAGGAAAATCACTAAATTGTATACAATCACTATATATGGTTATTATGTCAGATGGATCTGCTTAGCACAATAAAATGAATTACAAATGATGTCACAATAGCCTTACTATAGAAATGAATTTTCAATTCGCAGTACCAGGTAGTTTACTTTGCATTAGCTGTTATATGAATGGAAATTAATTCGCATTAGTTTACTTCACAATAATTTACTGCAAATTAAACTCTCCATGTGAACAGGACATAATAAATCAATGCACAATAAATGCAAGGCATTAATGAAAGATATTTTATTAATTTGCAAAATCCACCGAGAGAATTTATACAAGGAAACTAATTTAATTAAACTAGACACAGCTTTCTCTGTTATGCAATTTCAATGTACCAAATCATGAATAGAACTGTATTCTATAGTCTGGTGTATATTTTTAGGTGCTCAATCCAATGTGGCTTTTACATCTGGAATCGTAGGAGAGTATGATAAGCAACATACATATAAAGGTACAGTTAAATTCCCAGAAGTCATTTAACAGGTGGGAGGAGGATATAAACCTACAACAGGAATATTCACCGCCCCGAAGGCTGGACTGTATCTTATTTTCTGTACTAATGTGGCAGCATATCATGAAACCTTTTGGACAAAAATAATGATTAATCGTTCAGTAAAGGCTGGAGTCATGGCTTGGAATTCATTATCTGTTAATGTCCACATATCAGCCTCCAACCTTGTTGTCCACCAGTTACAGGTGGGGGACAGAGTCTGGATACAAGTTCATGGTGGTACTCATCTGTACTCATTTATTCCAGATACAACCTTTTCTGTCATCATGATCAATGGATCAGATTAATACTACATGTACCTTGTTATTGGATACTTTCATTGTTATATAAATTTGAACACGTACATTTTTCACACTTACTCCATGCAGAGAAGAAAAAATATCTTGCTCATAATACTCAAATTAACAATTAAAGAAAACATGATCTCAGAATGAAAAATAGTCTGACAGTATATCATACTGAATCTTCTCATATAAGGATAATAATGAATATTTATATTATTATTAAATATTTATCAGTTAAAGACAGTTTATCATATGCATTACAATGTAAAATGATTGGAATGAATGGTACCATGGTGTTCATATGATGTTTAGAAGCTGGTATAACTGTAACTCAGTCCGACATAGAAATTAACTTGTATGCCTGTTGTCCTTTCATTTGTTCTTTCCTCATCCTGATAGATTGCCTCTACATAGGCTTTGATGTGTTTGATCACTGATGCATACAATTTCACAGGAAACCTTAGATCTGTGGTTCCAATGTCCTCCAGGGGAAATTATACAGAAATCAACAAGTACACATGCATACAATTTCTAAAAAAAAAAATAAAAACAATAACTTTGAAGATTTATGGATATGATAAATATTATTAAGATAAACATCAACATTATAAGATTATTTTTCAATATAAAATAGCATGAGTTCATAAGAGAAGGGGAATCGGAAACTGTTACAAAAGATAGACAACAAAAACAAATATTTTTTCTGCCCATTATATTGAGAGAAATACAGTGATTTTGGAATACTTGAGTAGAAGTTATTTCTTTAAAGATAAATATTCACTACATCTCCTTCAACATCAATCCTACAAACTAGTCAATATCAACTTTATACTGTATACATGTCTTACTAATATACATAATTTATTATAGCTAATAAATAGTCTCTAATAAAATACTACCAAAAATCTAGAGAATTTTAACCTTCAATATCTTGACTTTTTATTGAACGCTAACTTTGTATTACGAATATGAGTATGCCCGAAACATTCCGAATACGAGCGTTCAATATCGAACGCCCCGTTGTAAACAAAAAAAGTCGTCTGGTCAAATTCTCAGAGCTAAATTAAAGAAAGGAAATGGCATCCAGGTAAGATGTATTTATTTTTCACACAAAAATGAAATTATTTATTAAAATATAGTACGTATTCAAGACCTATTAAAACCTAAGTAAGCAAATCATATCGCTCGGTAGGGTCATCGGAATGATGCAATATTGAACGCTAACAGGACAGACGTCAATTTGAATACCGATACTAAAAAATCATTAATTTGAAGGTTTTTTAAGTTTGAATAATTATTATAAATTATGTGGAAATG